TACACAAGATAAGTTATCTTTTAATTCTTTGTCTTTTTGTTTTTGACCCATTTTACCAACATCTATTTTTCACTCATCATTTTTGTTAGGTTTTCTTTCTACATCATTATCTTTCTTCTTTGGCAGTGGCTCTGGCTCGATCTGCATTGTGGTTTCTCTGAGGTTAGGTTTATCAATGTCCTTACGAATTAACCTTCTTTCTTCTTGTATTAACTTCCTAGGTTTTGATTCACATGTTTCGATTTTATTAGCCTCTTTTTCTGTTGATGACTTTCTTTCTATTGGCATTAGTTCTGGCTCTTTTGTCTTAGGTTTCTCTTGGGTGTTTGGTTTAAATAACTCTTTCTGACTATTTTTTTCTTTGTCTTGCTTTTGCTTTTCTGATTCCCATGATTTTCCTTCTAGTCTACTAGATTTGACTTTGACCACTTGATTGGTCTCAGATTTCAGGATAAGAGGTCCTTCAGGTTGGCAATTTTCATCGTTTGCTATTTTATTTCTTCTCACTGGTTTCAGGGCCCATTCACACATTGTTTTTCTACCCTTAATTGTGTCTTCATCCTTCTTGATTCTAATTCCAAAGGAATAACAATCATGAGCTTCATCATAAATAGCAATAGTATCAAGTTCTTTTAATTCAGGTAGGTATGTTTTTACTTTCACAAGTTCTTTTTTATTCATCCTTCTGAACTTACTTACTTTGTTTAACCAATCTTCACAGGCACAGTCTAGATCTATTATTTCATTATTCTTTTTAACTACTGTTATTTCATCGCTGTTATCTGAGCAGTCTTCATTTAATTTTCCATTATCTTTTTCGAGTTCTTGTTTCGACAATTTTCCATCATTATTAACATTCGCATCGTCTAGTTTATCTTTTCCTTCATCATCTTCAAGTAAAATGTTTCTGGTAGTATTTTTGACATTATCTTAATGAACTCTCATTTTTCTTCCTTGTCTATTCTTTTTAACAATGATTCTATTGTTTTGACAGGATCTTATTTTGATAGCTTCTTCTTGAAGGAACCATTTTCTCATAATAGAATTGCATTCATCCTTTAACTCTCGAAGAAGTTTATCTAGATCAACTTCTACTCCATTCTAGTCTTCTGGAACGTTGTAGTAGGAGTCGAGAACTTCGGACACTATTACTTTCTTATCTCTATTTCTTTTGGGCTCTTTCTTTTGAGGAGTTGGACCAGAGCAGAGATTTATATATGAGGGTAAGTACACAATATTTACTTGTTTATTTTTGTACTTAATCTGGTTATTAAGTAGTTTCTTTTTTTTCTGAATTATTTCTTAGTGATTTTTCTGTTACTACAAGTTTGTCTATTAACTTTAGCAATAACATTATAATCATATTCACTTTCAAG